GGAAGGTCAGAATTGGAAACTGCAGGCTGTTTTGGAAAGAATGCTGTGGGTGATGACCAGATCACAGGTGGAGAAGTACAGTAGTAAAACCCTGGGGGGCTGAAGTGGGTTGGACTACCACATATCTGAACTTTTTAAAAGCAAGGAGTCCATTTGTTTCCATGATAAAGAGCTTGTTTCCTTATGTGCAGATAAGTTCACCTAATTTACCATATATGCAAAACTCCATATCACAACCAAGCAGAAACAATATAATACAAAAAAAAAAGAAAAGTCAAAAGCATTCAAGTTGTGCATTTTAAAAGGCAAAAACAATATACATAATTCCTATATAGATTCAGAATAGCATATTTGATAATAAAAATATATATATTTACTGTTCATTTTGAAATAGAAAATATATGCATGTTTCCATTTGTTTTACAGTTCAAAAAAAGTAAAAATAAATAAATAAACAGAAAAAAGTTGTATTAAAATTAAAATGTTAAATTATTATTATTGCTGAGAACCTGAGCTGGTCTTCAACTCCAAGCATGGAGACACCGCCCATTTGCTCGGGGGGACATGGGCGGGGGCTCCTTTATGTTAGCAGTAAAACCAGTTCTAACACTCCCTCACACTTCCCAATCCCATCAATAGCTGTGAACAGCACATTTATTTTCCAGCACACGTTTTCCATACAATTTGCATTTCATCTTTCGTTCATTTGTTTAAAATGTGTGACCCACAGGAGAACATTTGAGCAGAGGAGTCAAGAGCTCTCCAACCTCATGACAGAGGCTCCTCTTTCACACTGCCATAAGCAGAATGAATTGCTTTCTCCCTGTTCTGATTAAGCTCAAGTGCTCTCGTAGCTCTGCAGAAGTGGAAGGGAATTAAGACAAAAGTGGCCTTTCTGATGAATATGAATGAAAGGTTTATAAAAGATCTCTAATTGTGCCCAAGCTTCTCGACAGAGTCTAGTTCCTGTCTGTTGTTGGAGCAGTTTTTCTTTGTGCCAGTTCAACTGATGATGTGGGCTTCTGGCCATTGACGCAAGACCACACCTTCTGAATCAACAGACCTCAATAACCTCAATAAATAATTAAATATACTGTAGGTCAATGAACCTACAGTGAATTGGAGTAAATTGGTCCTATCTTAGATGGATGACCACCTGGGTTGAGCAATATTCAAAATGTAAGAACTTGCTTCACAAGTTTCACAGGACGTTGAAGTGGAATTTCAATTGGAATGACAGGAAGAGGAATTTAATGAATTGGAATTCAAACAAATTAAACAGTCACACAATGGGGGGATTTCAATAGTCCAGCACAACAACAAATTGGGGAAAAAACTATTCTTCTGTAATCCTGCTTGTTTGGCATAGCTGTGTTTGCCGTAGCTAACACAAGAAATCCACAACAATATGCATTTAGACGAAATTCAATTATATAATAAAGGTAAACCTTCATTGTTACACTGTAATGTGATGGTATATTACCTAACAACATGAAATATGTTTGGCAAAATCTATTTATAGGTTCAAATGTGTGCTTTTTGCCAGGGCAAATTTTCACAACATGCATGAACCGTCTTTTTTTTCCTTCTTCTTTTTTGTAGCCAAGGCTAATGTGAGAACTAACAGAGTCTCTCCTAAATTTTAATTCAAATTTAAATTCTAAATCCTGTTTGCTTGCTACATTGATTTAAAATTGCATAACTGAACTGGACTAAACTGCACACACTCCTGATTGACGTCTTATTACTTCTGACAGTGGTCTGAATATTCCAGGACTGAATTACACTGCAAGCAAACTTCTAACACACCTTCATTTAATCAGCATTCAGCTACCATTGACTCTTTGAAGAATGCCTTTCACACTCTTCAAGTGTAACAATAAAAACCCATCGGCAGAGGTCTATGGTTGCAGATGTGATTTGTAAGATGGGAGTGTGTTTGAGGTCATTGCAGGCTATCCTCCCCCGAGACGAACATCTACTGCTGCCTCCTTCAATGTGACTGATGATCTAGTAGCTCAGTATACACACCCTAACATCCTACAAGACTCTCTGCTAGTCCTGCAATGTTCTCAGAGGGAAAATGCGTGTAACTGGTATTGCAAGGAAATGCATGTCTGGATCTTTCCTTAGGAATGGAATAAATTTATACTGGTCGGAGTACAACCAAAATAGAAGGCTCTTTTCCTTCCTGGAGAGTTTTCTCTGAGCAACTGTGTCATAAATGGTGGTTGCAATGTCACAAGGCCAATTGGCTTGCCATACATAGCTTGTTTGACCTCAGACACCTGACCTGAAGGGTTTACTGGGTTAAATTTGGTCTAACCGTATGATTTACATATACGGGAGGGACTAAAGTGTTAGGGATCAAATACATAGCATTTTCCATCCTGGCACCCACACATTCCTACATGCCAAATTTGGTTCAGCCTCATAATACATCCTGGAATTTCATGAATTTCACCAACTGAGGATAAATTGAGCTAATAATATTTAGAACTGAGCTACTCTTTTTGTAACATATTCAAAACCAAATCAAACTCTAAACGGCGAAAGCTGATGTTCCAGAACTCAATCAAATGGGTGTAGTTTTCTTTCTGAAAACCAAGATTGAATGTCACCTTGCTAATGATGAAGCTTCAGTACAGGATCTTGGACGAGGTTCAATGGACGGCTCCCTGCTGGCACAACAGGCGCTATGTGTCAGTACTACTGTGCAAACAAACTGGATGAAAACACATTTATCTTCACCGAACAGAAACTAGCTTTACTCTCAAGTATATGCTGGCAAACAAAACAAGCCATAACAAAACAGTAGTAGTGTGATCAATTCTGAAAAATAGTTTCTTAAATCATCATGGAGTCACCCTGCATGTTCCTGGTCTTATTGTGGACAATTCACTGGTGCATGTTATTCCAAAAAAAAAAAAAAAGTATTTGTAATCTTTAATCAAAATGTACTAACTTTCTCTTCCTCTGAAACAACTTTTCCACTGATGTCACTTAGGCCGTGAAGACTATTAGATCATTTTAACCAACAGGTCAAAAAAAATATTTAGACGCAGTGTTAATCTCAAATTGACTCTGGTTTTATTCTGGTAAGTAACTCCCATTTTCCGAGATCTAATCAATTCTGTTCTGCCTGAATTTTCTGTTCTGACTGTTTTCTTTTGGAAATACGTCACATTAAAGAATTAAAATTCCAGAAATAAAAATCCTATTCATTTTCCAATTCTGCACAAACTTTCTTACTTTACATCTTACTCACTTCCTTCCTACTTTATTGCCTAAAATGTGGCATCTTTATTGAAGAATTCTTTAAAATTTCTATGGAGAACATGAAAATACCTCAGGGACCAACGCTGCTGAGAAAGTGGGTCGTAACAGTTGCAGTCGGTTCACATTGACTTTAATCAAAGGACTAGACTCCAATCAATCATGACAACTTTGCATTGAAAGGAGTGTGAGTGCAAGACAAGCGGAGTGCCGTTGACTATAAATCCACCCAATAACAAATACTGCAGCAAGGTGAAGACAGGAAACTAAATGAAAAGAAATGCCTTTGATGCTCCTAAGCAGGGCAGAATTTGCATGCATGAGATGTGAAATGGTTGTGAAAAGCTGGCACTCTTTAGTGGTGGTTTGCATGTCACGCATGTGCTGCTTTGTACTGCCGTTGGAAACGGGTCATTCATCATTGTTTGAAAAAAATCTATCACCTTAATAAAGGGGAAACTGCTGGTTTCATCTGGCCAGACAAGAACGATGGAGTTTTGGTTCCTTCGACACACTATTTTCCTGTTTAATACTGTAAAGCTGCTTTGACAGAATCTGTATTGTAAAAAAGTGCTATATAAATAATTGTGACTTGACTTGAAACTGGCTAAGACACACTAACAGTTGTGGAAAAAAATTGATCCAGATGGACAGAGTGCTTAGACACGCTTTGCTAATATCCTCACTGTAAAACTACATTTTTACTTTATGCAAACAACTGAAACAATTTGCAAAATATCCTATTTTGTGTTCTGCGTAAGAAAACAATTCATACAAGTTTGGGGATGTGGATGAGTAAAGAATGACCATTTTTCATTTTTGGGTGAACTGTACATTTGAGCCAACTTTGCACAAGAAAGAAAAAGAAGTCTAGAACTACAACCCCACAATATTTAAAGCACTATCACAATGCTGATGATAAAATGTGCAAAAATCTTAATTCTATTAGGAATATTATTTCAAAACACTATGTGGAAAATCAAAACAGCCGCATAACCTAAAAAGACTGTAGAGAATAAGCCAAAATATAATTTTGCACCAACATTAATTAGAAGGTTTAACTACTTTTGACCACCTTAGAAATGATTGTTTATTGTATTAAAACTGTTACTGTGGAAAAGTTTGTAGTAACTTCTTGGTGAAATTTATAATAAATAATCTGTTAGGAGTACAATTGCGGTATGTTGTAGCTAGAGTTTCTAAATGTTGATAATTTTATAATTTTTTAAATTTGATAAGCTGATAATTTTCATTATGCTATAGTTGACAAAAAAATCTACATTGGACCAAGCAGAGCTATCAATGGTGTTACCTGCAATTAGCCCTACTGTAACAATGCAACAACTACAAGAACTACAGCAAATTTTCATAAGGGCAAGTACAACACAAAATCAAGAGCTTTAAAGTCTGTAACTTCATGAATTATTGACAAACCAATCAATTTTCCCCACGTCTAACATGTGGAACTGAAATTAGGAAAACCTGGCTTTGAATATTCCAAGATATGATGTAAATCATTAACAGAACTTATTGAAATATAAACAATTGTAACAAATGCTATAGTTAGACAATTACAAGAACTATGGTACATTTTCATAAAATCAAATATAAAGTAGAATCAAGAGCTTTAATATCTGGACCTTCATGAATTACTGACCAAGCAATCAATTTTCCCCATGTATAAAATGTGTTCTGTTCTGGTGGCTATTATTAGGGAAACTTGCCTTTGGATATTCCAAGAGATGACGTGAACGAGTAAAAGCCTGATGAAATTAAAACAACAAGTTAGTTTGATGGCACTTCCCAAGCTTAGAATGCAAAATGCTTAGAAATTTGAATGAATCTTACACCTGGTGGGGTGCACAGGGAAAACTCTTGTGCAAGCCCGTGCAACGCTCCAGGCCTATAAACAATGAATTGGCCTCCTGCTCCAGTCAGTGTGGCCTTGAAGTCAGCCAGCCAGCTGCCGCATTGTGTCACGTGCATCACCCAGCCACTGCTCCAGCATGTTCATTGTCTCATGGATATCCCAGCCCTCAGTGCCAAACACACACACACCATACTATATCAGAGAGGTCTAATATTACATCCAATTGTTTTGCCACTGGCTCTACTCATTTTATCTTACATATAACATATAAGTTTCTCAAGATACACAAGGACAAATCTCCAAAGCTGGCACAGATCTGTTGCAGGTTCCTGTCTGACAAAATAAAACGTGAGCAGTGAGAGCTGTAATAATACCATGAGAGGCATGCAGGGCTCTGACACAGCTGAAAGATTTCATAACAAAGAGCAGACAGCATAAACAAGGGGTGAGATATGGGCCAAACAATAATCGACTCAAAGGAATATGAGTCTTTAAAGATAATGACAGCTGAGTATGTAAATGAACATGGCCTAAACTGAGGGATTTGTGAGGAGCAATAGTACAAAACAATGGTGTCAGTGCCAGCAGGCTTAATTATTATTACCCACAATAATCTAAAATTGCACTTTAAAAACAAGATATGCTTCAAGTATAAAGAACAGGTAGCCTATGAAAAGACAAAGGCTGAAAAAAGAGGGAGTTGTTCTAAATGTTTGGAACATCGTTAAGGAACTGTTCAACTCATACTGAAGTGGTTATTAGGCTATGTAGCTACTCACCTGTATGCTGTTACTTTTATCCAGAAACGCAAAAGAAGAAATTTTGAACAATTAACAGTTTATAGTGACATGTCTGGCGACACAAAAGTAGCCCTATCATAGCATAGTACATGTGTGCTGAATCCACGCGATATTTTTGTTGGAGAAACAGGCCGAATTAGCGATGTGAACCTTTATCGTCTTTTCAATAAAAAGTTGTAAAATACAAAACATAGATAAAAAGTTGAATAATGTCTGACGGAATCTCCAGCGCCGACGGCAAAAGAAGTCAAAACAAACGTATTTTTCTATCAACGAAGAAGTAACACGTAGCGGTTCTTTATAATGAATCGGCAATATACCGCGCAGTTCAGTTTGATTCACAAGCATGACTCTTATGAACCGGTTCTTGTAATTAATCGTTCGAAAAAGATTGAAGGACTCAACGGTTTGAATCAGTCTGACGCACTCTTCAATGAACTCTTCAGTGAATCAGGCAGAGTGCTGAGTCGAGTTAATTAATATCTGATTCACATACTGAATAGGAAGTTATCATTACTTTCAATGATTTTTGTTTACTAAAATCAGTATCATTACTAATTAGTAGACAAGTTACCTATTTAGTGTAGAGAGAGACCTTATATAGACAGCTGTGTCTTCCTAATTATGTCCAATCAATTTTCTTCAATCAATATTTAGAAATATCTCAAAGATTCTCCAGAGAAATTTGGTGTACCTGAGCTAAATTTGAAATGTCATTGCAAAGGGTCTGAAAACTTCAATCTTATATATATCTGATTCACATACTGAATAGGAAGTTATCATTACTTTCAATGATTTTTGTTTACTAAAATCAGTATCATTACTAATTAGTAGACAAGTTACCTATTTAGTGTAGAGAGAGACCTTATATAGACAGCTGTGTCTTCCTAATTATGTCCAATCAATTTTCTTCAATCAATATTTAGAAATATCTCAAAGATTCTCCAGAGAAATTTGGTGTACCTGAGCTAAATTTGAAATGTCATTGCAAAGGGTCTGAAAACTTCAATCTTATATATATATATATATATATATATATCCTATATGTAGCCTATTATATTATATATATATAGGCCTTATAATACTCCTCTAGTCTCCTAGTCTGTATTGCACCGCTTTCAGTATTTATTTTTGTTTTGTTTTTGTTTTTTTTATCAGCGATGGCTGGTTCCAGCTCACTGGCAGTCCTCTCGATCTAACAAATCTCCTGCAGGGTCTGCGGACAGAGCACAAGAACAAATTGTGGCAGGTATGCTATCATATTCTGACACTCCAGTTGTTTTAGTGTGACTCAAGCTCTCCAGTATGACTATGTGTGCTGATGTTTCTGTCTGACTCTCTTATTTTCTTTACAGGGCTATGGAGACAAATAAGAAATGGCAAGATTAGCACATTTATAGTGAGTGAATCCAATCATTGTGATGGCTGGTGATGCCAGTGAGCCACTCCCCATGGGCAGCACACTGGCACTCTGAGTCACTGCAACAATGTACATTTGCATTCTCGCTTCTCTTTTTGCTTTGCCAGCACTTTATAAAACTCGCTCACACATCAGAGGGCTCAAGATTTGTTTAATCTTGTTGATCTTGCTTTCCACAGAGCAAAATTCAGCTGGAATGCAATTTTATCTGGTCCATTTAGCATCTTCTTGAGTATTAATTAATAAAATATAGTTGTTTTTCAACCAGCCATGGCCGTTTTCACTGGATGTTCACATGCATACTTTGTTGGGAGGAATGTGAGGTCAGAATAACACTACAGTATGTATTCTATCCATACCAGCATGGTGATTACTGTAATTAACTTCCAAAGAAAAATGAGCACCCGCACTTAATAGCCTACTAAGCACTGAATTTACATCAGATGAATTATAGACACAGCAACGGTTCTCTCAAGCATTCCTCCAAATATAATGGATTGAATGAAGGCTTGGCAGAAATCCTGGATCATCCGTGACACATCTACTGTTCCACTTGGAATCATCATATATATATTATAATAGTGTCCAAATGTGTATTTATGTGTAACTTTTTTTTAAGTTGGTAAAGCAGCCATGAAGTCACTTTTCCCTAATAAGCAATTGAGTATGCTAAAATGAATGAATGAATGAATGAATGAATCTTGAAAAAAAAGTGAAAGTGACGTGATTCATTGAACAGAAGTCATGTTGTTCTAGTATAACAAGTGAGGGCTGTGTATGATGAAAATCCACTGCAGTCTGTATCGCTCTCTGGAAGAGAAGACTGAAAGTACTGGAGATCAGCTCTCAATGATCCACAGGGCCGTCACAAGAGAACACTTGTTAACAAGTGTTGAACATGTCTCTGGCCCTTCAGGGTGAGTGCGTCCATGGATATTGGTTGCACATTCTCCGCTCTCCTGGAGTGCTCACCAATGGGCCTCATGTTGATGGAAGTGCGCTCTACTATCCTTTGTCCGGGCCTTTAAGTATGGGCTATAGCCAAGCTTCGAAGAGCAAAATCTAATCCCGTAGACATGACTGCTCAGACTAGCCTTAGAGGCTAATCTACGCAGAAGAGCGAGCGGGCCTGAAGGAAGTGCAGCAGATTTAAGTCTTTGTCCTTTGGGGCCTGGAAGAAAGACCCATCACATGGGGGCTTAGCTCAGTTTCTCCACCGTGAATCATAGAGTCTCCTTCTCAAAGAGTTTGAGTTGAAGAAAGGCATCTTTTGTTCTTAAAAGAAAAGTGTGCTCTGTTCTACAATCCCTGCCGGTACACGACTCGAACCCGCAACCTTTGGGTTACGAGTCCGACTCTCTAACCATTAGGCCACAACTTCCACGATAAAATCACCTTTCTCAATCAACTGAAATATAAGCCTCATTGACTTATAATATGGTTGTAATTGTATATACTAATCAAATGTTGTATTTTGGATGTAGGTGTGCTTCTCTACTAGATTAACCAGCAAATAAATGGGATCTATGTTGCCCTTTGAAAACTTAACATAGTCTGAGGCCATGTCCACAGACACGTACACGGGTATTTTTATAAACGTTTTTCCTTCTTCCGTTTTTAAAAAAAATCTCCGTCCACATGAAAACGCAAACGCATGCTATGAAGCACTGTCAAGAGCATGCCAAACCAACAGGTGGCGATATAATCTCAACTGTAAAGCCATGTTGGCCAATCAGAAGCCTGAAAAAGTTTCCAATAGGCGGAGATAACAGCGCAGGCTCCGACGTCACAAGCCAAAAACTCTGGTTTCTCTGTCTACACGATAACACTGCAACCGGAGTTTTTGAAAATCTTCACCCTGGCAGGCGTTTTCAAAAATGTTCGGAGACCTGGTGCAGCGTTTGCGTGTGGACGAACGGCCAAACTGCATAGAAAAAGCTGCGGTTTTAAAAATAACTGCGTTCGTGTGGACAGGGCCTGAAACACCAAAAACAAGACCCATAATGGAAATCAGGTGTACTTTATATATCTGGGCTCTGCTCAAATCCAGAAAACACACATATTTGACATCTCAGATCAGTTAAGATGCAGTCGTTCTTCATTCATTATCATTCACCCATGAGATAGGCCTATGATTCATGAAAAACAAGAATGTTTTTTTTTTTTTAGTTCAACAAGATGATTCATTCCTTTGATTCACATAACATGACACAAGATAAGGGTGATGCACAAGACAAAAACACTTGATCCGTCAAATTCAATGTGCATAAGACGTTATCTATATATGCTGTGCCTTTAACACTCAAAGCACAAACTTGCCTTATTCATAACATAGCTGTTCTAAAACCCATTTCTGGTCTCTGACTCTAACAATGATAACCATAAGATAGATGATTAAATATAAATACACACTCTTCTTATTGGTCACTGAAGTACAATAAATAAAAAATAAAAAACTCGCACACCATTTCCAGTGGACAAGGACTGGTCTACCAAAACTTGGTCTACCTTAAGATAGCCAGGTGGAATAGTTTCCTTGGCAACAAACTGACATTTATTTGTGCACTTGCCCTGGGGTATTTGAGCTTACAGAGACACCTTTGTGGGTAGTCAGTGACTTTCTACTATTTATGAGTCAGTGCTTTTATATGGATTTACATGATTTGAGTGCAAGTCATGTGACTGAGGGGATCACCAATCACAATAATGTGCTTGTTATTCAAAATGTTGCTGCTTTGTATGTATTTTGTATTAAAATGACGTTATATTTCTCAGTTATTATAAGTAATATATAAATAAATTTGTTAAAAATGAAAATAAAATAAATAAAACATTTAATTGATTATAAATTAAAAAGAAATTCAGACTTGCCAATTCCCTTTTTCTTTAGTGATTCCTTTGTCACCCCCTACAGAACAGAATGAAGTATTGCACCAGTGTTTGCATGCACTAAAATAACTTTTAACAATACTGCACATTTTACTCTTTTCTGTCAAAGCTAAAATGCATTTTAAAAATTTACTTCACTAATATTTTGTATTGCCTTTCCAAGAAAATATAGCTTCTGCACAGTTTTCTGATCAACTCAGCAAGAGAGAAAATTCCTCAGCACACCTGAGGAACTCATAAAAGAGGTTTTATATGAATGGGGGATGAGGGGGGACAAGAGCTCTCATCCCATAATGCCTGTCCATGGGCGTGACTCTTCATGGCTGGCTGCACTCTATAAGCATTTGTGACGGGTGTAAAAAACAAAGGACATCTCATATTACATTCCCTGTCCATGGAAAACTCAAAATTTAAACTGATAACCTGAAGCTTTAACCGTCAAGAAACAAACCAACCACTGGACTAGAGGATTTTTTACTTTTTCAGAAGAAATCCTAA